GAAAATTTTACAAATATTCATCGGAATTTATCTGTAACATTCAGTTTATAAAAAGAGTGGGGCAGTCTTTTTATATTTTAGGTAGATCTATTATTTTCCTAAACATTTTCCAATATCAACTGTTGGTCACCATTATAGCAGTCAATCTTGTGAAATATATAGTTTTCAGCTTAATCTGAAAATGAAAAAAAAATAAGCATAATGTCACATGTTTTATGTGATACAACTATACACTGCCATCAGTTTAATATTGTTACATAGAAAAATTCAGCTTAAATTATACTAAACAAAAGTTCTTGATGAAATATAGGTTATCTACAAATGTTAATTGTAAAATGTGTATAAATCAGTTATTGTTAAAGCGTAAATGAAAATATAACGTCAACTTCCGCAACGGAATAAACAAGGAAATAAACAACTTGTTCACTGACATAAAACATTATGATCATTGCATTTACAATTTATTTGATATTTTAACTGAATTAAGAAGAGAATTATAGTCCATTTTGTAACTCATCTGACTTGTGTGGTGAACAGATGATGTTTTAATGTGGTCTATTTCGTCTGAATGGCGGTATATATTTACAAAAAAATTATTTAAATTTATACGGTGCCTTATGTTAATAGCAGATATGAATAAACGGGAAAACATGAAATGAGTTTCCACATTTGATTTGTTATCCTAATCATATCTCAACACCATTGTGAAGTTTATAAACCCTTTACTTCATGAGCATATTATGAAAAATGGCCGTTTTCATTGAAAAGCCTCCTGTTACAAGTAAAAATGTTCTGCCAATCCCTTGATGTACCTTTTTGATATAGGGCGGCGGCGAAAAGGTGATCACTTTTTATCAACATTTCCAATCAGTGTTTGGGACCTAAATAGGGCATTTTTTCCACTGTTTGAGGCCTCATCAAGGGGGAGGGGCGAAAAGCCGCCAAAACACGTCTATATGAGGTAAAGGGTTAAAAAAAGTATAATGTCATTGTTTTATTGTAAGCAAGGTCTCTCCACAAGGCGCACGCTTTCACGATAACATTCGATTTTATACATTGATTGTATATAACATCTACAGGGGTCTACAGTTACAGGGGTTTCAAGGCAAGTAAAACAGCGTATTCATTTTCAAGGTCTTTGTCTGCCAAATGAACCAGTTACTAAAGACCCTCACTTTCACGGAATTTTAAACATTTTGTTTTCTTTGGTTTTACGGCGCAAAAACACAATTTAGGTCATATGACCCCAATTCAGGAAAGATGATTTTAGCTAACCTCGGGTGTTACAAACTTAAACCTTCCCACTCGCTGGGGATGAGAGATACACAGACACTCGTAACCCGAACCCATTTAGTCGCCCCTTTGCGATCACGCAGAGATAAACAATGGCTGCAATTCTGATGCCTCAACCCTTAAAGGCAATCCCTCAGCCACAATGTCGATGTTACCATCACATAATGTAAGTTACAAAATAAATCACTTTTGGACATTATAATGTATATATATAAGTTTAAAACAAATTGTGTTTTATGACAATATGAACATCAAACTGGGATAATTTGGTGACAAATGAGGTCAATGCGTAACACTCCTTAACTTGCCTTGTCGGGATTCCTGAATTTGTCTCAACCATTCATATTTGCTAATTTTATTGTTTGAATGAAGGTATTTGTACCATATATAAGACATACCGAGGTTCTAGGACTATATAGAACACTATAAGGGGATTTATACTTCAAGAAATGATTAATTTACTATTTTGTTTATCCTGGCATCAAAAGGCTGAACAGGGTTGTCTACCTTGATTCAAATATTTCATCAACATATACAAATACTTGTCATTTTACATGTAAGAATATAATACATAGAATGTGATCCATATTTACCTAAGACTTAATGGCTTTCCAAATATTAAGCTGTTATTGCTGTATTTCATAATAATCCTGATGACCGGTATAACCTTCTAGTTTGTCTGGAGAGAAAATTCAAATTCCTGGCTCTGAGAATCTTTTTATACCAATAGTTCATTTTTTAGGCTAGAACCATGATTGTTTTGGTCAAGATTTTAAGTACATGAAGTTAAGCATGTAATTCAAGTGTTCATGGCAAATTTTGTTAATTGTTAACTTTGGTAATTTACATTTTGTAAATTATTCCTGTAAATATGGCTGCTAATTTAAGAAATTCCTGTCGTTCCTGCCAGCCTGCCAGGGCACATGGAATGTTATGATTGGTCAATTATGACAGTCCTTGCAATTTCAGAATCTATTTAAGTAGCCATGACAGGCCATTTTCAGTTTGCATGTTGGCTTTAAACCCTGACCGTCGTGAAAACTAGTGACAAAAGCATTTTGCAATATTTCGATGGAACTTCTGTGTTGTTAAATATGGCAAATTTTGTGCTTTTTCGAGTTGAATGAAGAAATTGTTGAATTAACTTTTATCAATAAAAGTTGTTATTTTTTACTTAGCTTACAATATGTGTTGATACAGGTAATCTTAAAAAAATGTTTTAGATTTTTTCAGATACAAAATTGTTTTCATACTAATTCTTGTTTAAAATGTATTTCGTAATTGTATCTTTGTAAAACCTTTAACATAATTGTAGTCAGCAGGAAAATTTGTTTAAAATGTACTCTTTTTAAAGGCACTTTTCTTTTGTTCTTGGTAATAAAATTATTGTGTTTCTGACGAAATAATTTTGTATCTTTTTATTATCTTAGATCAAACACTTAAAATATGTTTCTTTTCATTCACCAATTTATTCAATCTTTCAATATAAATCATGGTTGCAATACAAAACATCAAATTGTTTGTGTGTTTGATTAAAAAAATTGAAAAAAGCTTTACAAAAAATTATAAAATATTTCAACATGAGAAAGAAATTAAGTGGCAACAAATCAATTCCATAAAGACAGAAATCAATTACAAAGCTTGTAGTGCCAATATTGTGAACGAAAATTAACGTAGGGCAACAAATGTTTGTCTTCCATAAGATATTAGATAAAGAAAATTTAATGTAAAGTTCTTTGAAAAGAACCACTAGGATAAGACATGTATCGAGATGACGAAAATAAGCTGTCTTTGATACGATAAACGATATTTTTGGTTTCTTGGTAGACATGTTATATACAAAGTCAGATCTTAAAATTATTATTTTAAATTTAACTTTCCAAGCAATCGTCTTCTATATATTATTTTCATTGTTCCATGTGCTTTGTATACTTGACAAAATATAATTGTATTTAAGAAACTGCATTATAAGAGTTTAGTGGTAAATTCTGCAAGTAATGCATTACTTCGTAAGGCATAGGATATGTTACTTTTTCTTTCAAATAGCAAAATAAGATTCGTGTTAAGACAAGAAAGAGGTGGTAAATTACGTTTTAAATACAGAACTCACATATTGAACTGCCAACATTGTTTCGTCCTACTTCAAACTAAACAGATTTTCGTTTTGCATTTACACATACAAAGGGAAGCAATTTTTTAAATCCTATCATTTCTTTTTGTTAAGTTTTGAGTCCCTTTTTATTCTGATTTGTTTCCTTGGAGACGTATGATTGCATTTATATTCATTGTTTTATCCCACTGCAATATTTGACAATAACAAGTTTCAAAGCTATTATATAAAGAAAAAGTAACAAATCGCAGACGTTTTTAAGTATTCTATGTTTATAAGGTTTACAATGATAATTCTAATGAAGCCAGAAATATCAACTGTAACTTTAAATTCTTCTTATGACCTCTCGTTTAAATTATCAAACATTTTAAACTTTTCATTTGAATATATATTAAAACAATCACTAGAACTACTAACATCAAAAATTCCATGATGAACGAAGGTCAAATTTTCACCACTATCCTTTATAATCAATGCAAGCATTGGCGACAACTTATCCACTGTAAGCCATCTACTGCGCGTAAACAGTAAATTTATTGAACATCCTAAAACAATTTTCATGAATCGAAAATAGGTAATATCCTGTCAATACATGCACGAGGGACACCTAAGGCCTTTATCCACCAGTAAAGTTAGAATGTCGTCATATTATATCCAATAAAGGCAAGGTGTCTTACTGTATCTGTCACAGCTTGTTGGTTGAAATGCAAGGTATTGAAAAAAGTCAATTACTGTGCAATTTTACCTAGCAGTTTATTATTTTTAGAATGACTTTGTTTGCCGACTCTAGTGTTTCTAGTGTCTTTAATTTTTATTAGAAACTGCAAAATAGGTTAGCCTTACATTTAGTTATTTATATTTTCTCCAAATAGTGTTCCCAATTTCTTTAACGCTAGACCGTCAATTAGAAATTTGCTAAAGCATATAAATTGTTTTAAGCATCATTTGAAGCTTATTTTGCTTATTAGAAGGGATAATCATGTTTAGTACTCTGCGAACAATTAAACCAGTACTATGCTCTATAAAGCCAAATCTTTGCATTGACCTATGCCTCTTTTAATCGAAATAAGTAATAGAAAGAGTATCGAAACACGTGGCTATCTTGTCTGTACGAGGGAGCATAGCCACCGAATATAAATTAGATGCCAAGTGTTTTGATGTACTTTCTCTTTTGCTCATACGCAAAAATAAAAACACTTTCCCTGTAGTCACAAAATGAAACCCTAGAATAAATTTACCAATGTATGAGCATCTGAATATTATTTTTCTATCATAAACCCTTTATTTGTCGTCATGATAAGTTAACCCCATGACAATGTAGCCAATCAACGAGCATGCTCTATGTTTATCCACGATAACTAGAGTGAGGTTTATTAATGTATCTGGGTATACGATTTAACTCTGACATATTTTCGGAAGAAAGTTTTCCACACTTTGATACAAGATGAATTTTAGATTAACATATGTACAAATTTCACTTAATGGTTCCATCATAACATGGAATGTTTTGTCGGAAAGTATAATGGTTACAATTCAAAATAACAAATTGTTACAGTTTTATTTTTTATACAGGCTAAAACCCTTATCTATATTTTAATTCAAGCAGAGGGTTAAAATGTATTAATTACGTCTGAAATCATTCATTGCGATGCTTTCAATCATGCCCCGCTCGCTTTCATTAAAATATACTAACAATTTTCTTTCATTCTATGTTTTCGTTTTTGTGATTCTTTTTTATCACAATAAATACACAGACAGCAGCAAATACATAGCTATATACACTTTAATAAACGCCATGTTTAGGTCTATCAGATAGCACCTATCAATGGAACAGGAATCTGATAAACAGTTTTGTTACAGAAGCCGACATTACATTTTATGAGACACATTAATACATTCATACTGATAATATATAAAATAATTATTTCGGTACATAAAACTTTTATATAGAACAGACTCAATATTTTAAAAATTCATAACAGGACAAATGTTTTTTCATAGAGACCTAAATCTCTGCACAAAGCCTGGCAAAATGCGTTGAAAAAACAATGCAAGCATGTTGTATGTTTACCTAGAGCAACCAACAGAAGAATATGGTTATGGTACTTAAAACTTGTAATTATCAGTATGTCTTCGACGTCGGAACCATAGCAAAATTTCCAGACATACTTGTAAAAGTTCAACACATGTAAGTACAGAGGCTCCAACAAACAGTCCCATGGCGCCACCAATATCAGACAGAAACCTTTCTGTGTTGTACATGGCCTGTTCAGAAATCACTTCGTATGTCAAGTCTTTAAAATAAATATACACGGCCAGAAAATTTCTTGATATAGCATCCACTTCTGCATCAGTCATTCCTTCAAAATTTACTGTGATCTTGTCACAAATATGTCGTGACGGGTCGCCTATATGTTCCAAACTTTCCGGTTTTCTTTTACAAATATCAGTTAACAAGACATTTCTCAGATAGTACTTATGTGGCCATGAACTACTTGAAACGGTTGATGAGTAAACTACTTGTTCACAACGGCTAAAACAGTCACAACGTATGTTTTTATTAAGAATCTGTTGTGAGACATTTTCAAAGCATTCTTCGTCATCATCAAAATCACAATATCGCTCACCTGCTGGATTTACTGTGCCTAATGAGGACATTAAGCGACATTTGCAGTTTTTTATTGTATGTTCCATTTCACATAACGAGTAGCATAAAGGTATTGTGTAATTCATCTTGTATTTCGCACGAAATTCTAGACCATCCGTACACTTACCGTATTTACCACCAAGCCTGTCCATTGTGGTCACACGCAAACCCACATGTGTTTCTGTTTTAAAGCCAAGTGTTATTCCTTCTTTCTCAGGCAAAGGATATGTACCCTTTTCATGTATCACCATGCGAATTCCATACGACGATGTAAATTGCTCAAGATATTCTTCTGTTTCTATATTAAGAACTATATATAAGCTATTTTTAAGACCGCTTCCACGAGCGACAACGTCAGTATCGTCAAGTGTGAAACAATTGCCGAACATTCGGGACAGGATTGTTTGAAATTTGCTTCTGGGTAACTTGCCACCTGTTTGTATCGGTAAAAATGTTTAACGTACGTAAATATTTAAAATATCTGCATCTTTCGAAATTTATCATAAAATTGAAGGCTAGTGAAATTATTTTCATTCTCTTTAACAATGATATCTGAAGCAATTTTAATCCCGAACTTGCTTTGTCTACGTTCATTGAATGCGATCTTTGCTCTAATATTTAAGTTCAGTCTCTAGTGAATTACTGATGTCTTTAATAAGAACACAATATTTTCGTTTTAGATTGCAATATTCATTCTTTAATTTGCAAAATGCTCTTGCATGCAAAGATTATTGTTAAGAATTAGACAATGTAATTAAATTATAGAATAACACTTTTTTAACGAAAAAAGTACAATAATTTCCATATACATTTACCAGAGAATGATGCAGTGTGAATAAAGTCTTCTTTTTGATGTCCGGCCTGTAATCGTTCTTCATCAGTTAATTTTCCAAACTCTGTCAAAAATCTTGTTTTCCAATCATCAAATTTGTCTTTAGAGCTATTGTACGATTCGTCTTCTGGTACATTGGAAAATATTGCAGAATAAATTGCCTTTTGTGTGTACAGTCTTAATTCACTTATATTAGTGAAGTTAGCAATGTATCCCTGTTTCATTGGATTCATATTACAAAACGTTATGGCGGGAAACGGTAAGTTGTTATGTTCAAGATTGACAGATGTTTTTGTTGTGTATGAATTAAACTCACGAACTAGACCAAGGAGTTGAAGAAGGAATATACACACACATCCTGAATAATTGCAGAATACAATTTTCATTATCAGTATCTGAAGTAAAATAATTACATACAAACAAATAACCATAAATACCTAGGTTGCTTAAGTTCCATTATTGCATACTTATTTTCTTTACCGAAACACTTTTTATTTAAGTTGTAATCTTGATTATTAAAATTTTTCGTCTTATGAAATTTGATATTTAAAAACAAGATATATATGTGTACTTGTAAAACGACAATGATACAAATATTTGTATTGTAAATATAACTGACAATAATAAATAAAGTAATAAGTGATAGTAATTAAAGCTAAAATGAAACAAGTGTTGTATTGCATATTGGTTTGAAAATGTACTTACCTAATATAAGTAGAAGCCATAAAATCTTGACAATGATTTGTTGCGAAGTAATTACCTTGGAAATTCCATGTAACGAGCTTGACTTGGCCAGTTCTGATAAAAGTTTTAGTAAGTTGTCATTTTCCGCCATTGCACTTCTTATGCTGATAATTGCAATTCATATATATATTGATTCAATCAAAAACAATCAAACATTTGTGATGCATCTCAGAATATTGTCAAGTATTTATAGATGCATCAATTTATCAATTATGTAATTAAATAATTGTCCAACTTATTAATTTACAGCAAATAGCACTTACATTTTCCATATATTACAAATATCCATCTGCAGCATGCTTTATAATTTTCATGAAGAGCAATTAGATCTACATCAACGGTCTCGTGCGTCTATTGTTTGTTTATACTTGTTAATGGAAAGAGAGAAAATAAATAATTCGCTCGGGATTTCAAACACGTATAGTCACAACAGTTCCCATCTTGATCCATGGTTAAATTAAATCAAAATGGAATTAATATTTTTTTTTATTATATGAAAGTTGTACTTTATTAGACCGTCAGAGAATTATAAAACTAACATATGATAGACATTGGGGAGGTTATAAAGATAGAAAAAATAACTGAAGCAAATTAAGACTTTTACCAACATTAATAACAAATCAATGTTTTAAAATCAATTATATCATTTTATTACGCATTAGACCGTACTGCGTTTGATATAACGAAATCCAGATTAATTGAAACAGATTCTGGACAAATTTATTCTTTTGAAAAGCTGTTTTCGTCTGCTATATAAATTGAGAACATACATTATCTTTTACTTTCAGCCTGTACAAAGTAATCTGTGTCGTTGTCGTTGTGTTCCAAAATGTAACTTGGATGCGTAAATAATATGAGACATTCAAGGCTTATTGTTGCGCATTTCCGCTTATTTTAATTAGACAACTTTCAAGTAATCATGCACTACAACTATCAGGTGTACCCTACAATCGTATTACATTTGACTACATTTCATTTGTTTTCAAAAACAAAACAACATAAAATAGAATGTTATTATATTGTATACCTTCTGTATAGTAACGACCCTAAGTTTAGTTAAATACTCTCAATATCTATTTTGTAAGTTAGTTCTTACGTTCTTAACGTCCATCAATCTGTTCTAGATAAGTGGCCTGTGTATTTGACTAAACATAAGATTCGGGAATTCGATGAATTTTTAAAGATTGCATGTATTCCTCGACACATTTTCACATCATACCTCAATATAATCAGACATCATTACATATCCACCTGTCTCGAATTTAAGCAAGTTATATTTTAATTCCATAAAAAGCCCCCGGCCATTCAAGAATTTGTACTGGTTCTAAAACACATTTATTCAAAACAATAAAAAAAATCCTGACCTTATCAAAACTGACTTCAAAAACATGACGTCATTCTTAGCAAGTTGAATGTTTTATTAATCTCCAACCGTCATCTTATTAACTACAAAAATATACCATTGTCCCTGATATGTTTAACAATTGGACAGAAAAACGGTCCAAAGGGTAAAACCATGAAAACATGATATTTTGTAAAACCGTTTTTAATCCAGGAAAACCCTTAAACAGTTTGTTGAGATAGTAGAGCTATCTCTACATGGTGATACGCTCAGGTTACATCACATTGTTTACATGTAGCCTCCCGGATGCAAATATTCATTAGCGACTGACCAGTCCTCAAACGTATTGATAAAATGTTCTTTTAAAACAAATCTATTCATAACGCTTAAGTCACGGACAGGAATTATTTGCCGAAACTATTGACCGACACTGACAACGGATTTTCTAAATTAGGAATAAAAGGAACTTCTAAAACAGAATCAGAATTAACTAGGTCATTAAAAGCACTCGAAACAAAATATCAATGTTCAAGAGTAGACTGGTTATTTCTTACATAATAACTAACAGGAGTTTAATAAAAAGGAATAATATAACCGCTTTTAACTTTTCAACTTCAATTTTGTAATATGGTCAGAAACGTTTTAAACATTTCCTTAAACTTTAACATGGGACCGTAACCTACCCTTAACAGGCTGATGTTTGCTATGACAAAACGTCATTCTTAAATTCTTAGTTTGTGCTATTAGTAAACTAATGTTCTCTAAAACACAGTTTTTGTAAGCGAACTACCATCAGTCTCATTCTCATTCTCACACTCAATTTTTAACCGATTACAACAACTTTATATAATGATCTTTCTACACTGTTCGTCGTTTTGAATAAAACCCAACTATAACTGTTCAATTAGTCCCTAGTTAAATTCTAACTTTTTCCGGTTACTTGTCCACTTGAAATCCCTAGCAAAAGAACTTTCTCTCAATTTTGTGAAACGCTTGCCATCGGACACATATAAATCGTCCCTTAATTCATGCTTAAGCAAAGAAAACTTCTTGTCTAAACACACATGAAAAGACACCATAGAATCGACAGAACCACAACGATCGCTGTCACGTAGCCGTCCTGCGTTTTCGCTATCACTATCCAATTCAGACCGAAAATAAACGTGTGAAAGAAGCAATGCAATTACATCAAGTGATTTGAAATGCCTTTTGAAACTTTATATAGAAATCTGATACGTTTAGTAAATGCACAAAAATATCGTTTGAGACAATCTTATCTGTACAATGTTACTATTTCTTACAACATTTCTTACAACATATCTTAATAGCTGTACCAATAATAAATACACGCAATGTTTATTTAAATCATATAGAGATATCATAATTGTAACTAAATGAAACGCATTCTTTTGGAACGTACGATAATTGAAACAACACCGAGATGATATGCATTCGTTACAATGTCCCGTTAGAGCCATCGCAACACACACATATCTCGAAACAACATAAACACGAAATTATAATGTGGAAAGTCGAAATAACGAAACCACGATGGTACGATGTTGAAAAGTCGAAAGTACGATAGGGTGATAGCAATGATCGCAGGGGTTTGAAATCAACTACCTTAACCACAATAAATGCTATTAAATTCTTTGAAAAACAACTTGGCCACGGACGCCTTGTTTCATAAAATAAATGCTAGTAACATTCGTTCAAGGGGAGTATTCAGAATATTCCATATAGGCTGTATGTTTTGTTTGTTGTTGTTTCTTGGTTAGTTTTTCTTTGTGTTGTTGTTTGTTTTTGCCAACTGTTGTTGCTTTGTCATTCACTTTATCTTAAAGGGGTAATTCCGCCATTGTGCCACAGGAGAAAGAATTGGTTACCTTTATGACAGCTCGGATTTGTTGTACACAAATTTAGGGTCTCTTTTATAACATAATAGGTTTTGTTTGTAAGTAAACACATTGTTCAGCTCTTGAAGACTGAATATTTCGCCAGTCTTTACCAATCATGGCTACTGCTGGGCTTGTCCGGGTAGTGTGTTAAAACGAATTGTATTTTTAGCGAAGAACGACGACAGTTATGCCTTTTTTCTATAATAGATACCTACATAAGAGATGAGGTTGACAATGTCCATCGTTTTCAAATATTTTTTAAGTTCTTTTGCTGAGATTTTAAAAGTGTTCCGGATCTACAGATATTCTTTTAATGTGCATAGCTCTTTCGTATCACAGTATGTCTGCAACAGTGGTATTGAAGTTTCATTAAACAGGTCGGCATAGTATATTCTATTAATAGCTTTCGGAACAATTAGACGCACGCGCGCGTTAAAGATAAGATCAATATGAGCCGTGCTATGACAAAACCAATATAATGGGTTTGCGACCAGCATGGATCCGCGCAGTCTGAACAGGATCCATGCTGTTCGCTTACCAACCCTTTTACAAGTAGAGAAACTGATAGCGAACAGCATGGATCCTGATCAGACTGCGCGGATTTGTCACGGCACGGCTCATATCATTTAGTACATGTACTCCTTTCATATAGAAAAGTGTTTTCATTTGAATTAAGCAGATAATATATTGTAAGCATATTTCAAACAGCCTGATAATGTGTTCAGTGGGCCTATTTAGAGATGTTACTTTGTTCATTATATTAGCTGCTATTTCCGTTGTTACAGGTAAAAAGTTAGTTTAAATTGTGCAATGTAAAATGTAAATCTATTTTAGCATTACGACATGTATTTTTCCGTTCATGCTTTATTTTGCGACTTTATGCTTTCCTATTTATCGTTTAAGTGTTGAAGTCTTCTACGTTTTGTAATGCAATGAATAGCACCAAATACAATTATGCAGAAGTATGTTGTCATTTTGTCGCTATCTAACTACGCATCAAGCCGCATTTTACGAACTGTTTATAAAGTTATTCATATATTTTAAATCGGCTGTAGTACTTATAAGTATGTTCACACATGTATGTACTTGAATTTAGTAAGGCTTCTTAGCTGCGGGCTAACTCCCGGAAAAGCCCAGGACCACCCCGGTAAGTTACTAGGATGATCCGTGATGATCCGAGGTGAAATTATTATTGCGGTCACACTTACCCCGACAGCACTCCGTTAAATCCCAACTAACCACCCAGAATGCGCTCCGGACCATCCAGACAGAGCCCAGGTGAAGCTACGGTTCATGCCGCTGTTTTTCCGGTCGTTCCCGGAAGAGCCCAGGTTTACCCAGGCATAGCCCCGGTCAGTC